TCTGACCTTATGTTGCGCACTGAATAGTTGGGAACTTAGACCTTCATCCATCCATCCATCCATCCATCCATCCATCCATCCATCCATCCTTTCATTTCCTTCAAAACTACTTATTGAATGTCTATATATTCCAGGCACTGTTTTGGCATATATAAGGCTGACACACAAATGAATATAAAATTTTGAATGGAACATATACAACAAAAAGAGATCAGTGATATTAGGAGACTTTATAATAGGGTTATAATCAAAAGAACAGTTTGGAATAGTTGTTTGTTTTCTTTCTTGTCTTGTTTTCCCCTTAACTCTCTAGTAAACAATAACACACATACAGAGGAATATACAAAAAATAAAAGTGCAATTCAAAGAATTTTCACAAGGAAACATACCCATGTTACCAACACTCAGATCAGCCAACAGAACATTATCATCCTCCCAGAGGCCCTCCTCATAGCCCCCTCCAAGTCACCACCCTCTAAAAGTAGCAAACATCCTGATTTCTAACACCACAGACTAGTTTTGCTTATTTTCAAACTTCATAAAAATGGACTCACGCAGTCTAAACTCTTGCATCTGTTTTTCCACCTCAATGTTATATTTGTGGGATTGATTCATGATGTTTTGCTGTAGCTGTAGGTTATTCATGCTCATTGCTGGGGAGCATCCTGTTGTATGAATATACCACAATTTATTTTTTCCATTCTACTTCTTTTGGAAATTTGAGTAGTTTCCAATTTAGGGCTATTATGAATAATGCTGCTATAAATACTCTATTATAGGATGGGATGTGGTGGCTCATGCCTATAACCCCAGTGCTTTTGGAGGCTGAGATGAAAGGACTGCTTGAGGCCAGGAGTTCAAAAGAAGCCTGGCCAATAAAGTGAGGCCCCATCTTTGCAAAAGAAAAATTAAAAATTAGCCAGGCATGATGGAGGATGTCTGTATTCTAGCTACTTGAAAAGTGGAGGAGAGAAAATCTCTTAAGCCCGGGAGTTCTAGGCTGCAGTGAGCCATGATTGTGCCACTGCACTCCAGCCTGTGTGGCACAGTAAGATTCTAAAAAAATTATATTATACACCTTTGGTAAAGAAATATATACATTTCTATTAAATATGTACCTAGGAATAAGAGCGCTGAGTCATGGTGGGTTACAAATGTTGAACTGTCATGGTTAGTGCTAGCTTTCCAAAGTGGTTGTACCAATGTCCACACCCACCATTAGTGTGTGGAAGTTTCAGTCAGCAATGGTTCCTAACCAGAGGCATTTCCATGTTCATCCATGGCCTTCTCAGCACTAGGAGTTAACCTCCTAGTTGTAGCTAGGATAACCTTGCATTTGATCTTACTGGGCATGAAGAGTTTTGATAGGAGAACTCAGAAGATGACAGTATTTCCTCCAACTAGAATTACTTGGAATTTAAAGGCAGAGTGAGAAAAGTGTTATGGTCAAAGCAGACTTTCCAAAGCAATAATAACATTTCACATTAACACATATAGTGAGGTGACAATTTCTTTTACAATTTTCTGTTTTTATTACTCTTTACCATTGGAATGTCTAACCATGTTTTGAATGACAGAAATAAAGCATCTTCTACAGTGCTCTCTGGTAGCACCTGTATTTCTAATAGAGAAGATGGATGGGCTGTTTTGAAAGTTGTTCAGTTGTTATTTAAAATACTGCGGGAGAGTTCAGCAATTTTCCAGCAACCTGAAAAATAAGTCATGCTTTGTTGGTTGCTTGGCACTATACCTTAAATGACCTTGTGAATAAACATAAAAGTAAGTAAATTCTAAAAGTAATCTGCAAATGACCCCCAAAAATATAACCTTAGGCTTTGTCTTGCAGACTCTCATCACTAAGCAAAGTGAAAAAATGTCTCATTCAACAAAACCCAATATTTTGGTCCCAGGATCCTCAAATATAAGGGAAAGAAATGAATCTTAACACTAAGGCCTGGGGCCAGATGTGGTGGCTCATTCCTGTAATCCCAGCACTTTGGGAGACTGAGATGGGAGGATCACTTGAACCCAGGCGTTCGAATCTGCAGTGAGCTATGATTGCACCATTGCACCACTGCTCTCCATTCTATGCAACATAGTGAGACTTCATCTCTTTAAAAAAATAACATTTTTAAAAGTTAAAAAAAATAGGACCAAAGTCAGGGAAAATTCAGGATGAATAACCAAGAAAGAAGTGGCTGTATGTCCATGTCATAGGAGATCTGTGCAACCCCAGTTTCTATGAAATAGAAAACATAGAAAAGAAATCAACCAGCAAGAATAAAAGAAATGAGAAGTTGAGGAACCAAACACAGTTAGGCATATCGATTGGTATATCAATCACTATGGGCTAGGCTACTCTGGGTAACAAATGGACTCCATATCTCAGTGGCTTACATGAATGTTTCTTTCTTGTTAATGCTTTGTACCTTGTGCCTGCTTGCTGTAGCTCTGTCCTACATCTTCTGTACTCCGGTTGCAGACTGACAGACCAGCTTCAATCTGTCTATTAGTTATTTCTTGCCACATTAATAATTCCAAACCACCACAAAACTTCAGCAGCTCTCAGCAATAAACACTTATTTTTTTCTCATGAGTCTACATGCCAGCTGTACAGTTCTGCTGATCTGGGCCTGGCTCGGCTGAGCTCAACTTGGCTCACTCACCTATTTGGGGATGGACTGGCATAGGCTGGTCTAGGATGACCTCAGCTAAGACAATGAATCCCTGGTCCACTGGTCTCTCCTCTTTCAGCTAACCCATGCTGAATTACATGATGGTGTCAGGATTCCAAAACAGCAAATGGAAAAGTGTAAACCCTCCTGCAAATTAGTTAACAAAAAGGCACATTACTGCTTCTACCACATTCTATTGACCAAATCATGTCTCAGGCTAGCCCAGCTTCTAGGGACAGGGATCTTCATATTTTGTGGGGGTTGCTATAAAATCATATTACAAAGGGAGAAGTGAGAAGTGAGTCATTTTTGCAATCAATGTTCTAAAACCTGGAACATTGCTGGTCATGATGGCAAAGGAAAAGTAAGCATATCACTTCTCTCACATTTCTTTGTTAGAGCAAGTCATGTGGCCAAGCCAGGTGCCAACCGAGTAGGCAAATAGAATCCTCTCTCACAGATGGGCAGTGAATATTTGTAAAAATACTACGATCTTTCACAAAAGTTAAAGAAAGAGGGGAACATGTAGGTTTCTTTTAGTATGTTGATGTCTGGGATAGACATTGTCCTGGCATGAGGATGATTCCTGGATGTTAGACAAGACATGAGAAAGTTGATAACACACTTTCATTTTTCCAGAATTTTGTCCCTTGAAATCCCTTTAGCATATAGGCACCCCTCACTGGCATAACCACTAGTTTAATTAATACAACCTATTATCCACCTGATCCTTGGAAGCAACAGGCATATACCTGTTCCTCATATGGCAAATGGTAAAATGAACTCAAAAAGAACACTTAAAATAGGTAATTTTTCAAAACTCGGTTTCCCATCCAGTCAAGGTTAGTTGGTACCAATCCAAGCTCACAAACTCGAATGCGTAAGAATTCAGTTGTCTTGATTTTCTGCAACTCTAGTTAATTTCTATTATAAGACCCTATGCCACAATAAAGTATAATTTAATTTCAGTTAATTCAGGATCTCCACATGTTTGCCCAGGGCTGGATGTTTAGCTCTGAGGTATTCACTGTGTCATGGTTTGCATAGCATGGGATCAGGGGTATGGATTCCTCTGTCACGTTGATCTTTGTGAGCCATCCTTCACATGGCTGTCAGTCTTTGGTCCTACAGATTACTGGTGCATAATCCTAAAGTTCTGTTGCAAGATCCCAGATGAGGGTCTTTCTCGCATTGTCATGCCATCCTGGTCTGCAGGAGACCTGCGCCATGTGGGGTTGAAAGCAGAGACTTGGTCAAGTTGATGAAGACCAACTGGCTAGATGCAATCTGCTTCTATTTCTAACCCATAGTCTTCCTGACTACTTGGAATTTCACCAAAGGAGGCTTAATCCTTACTTCATTCTTCCAAAGCTAACCTGGTTTTCAATCAATCTTGCCCCAAGGAGGTGTGCCTAAGGTCTTATGGTTTTCCTTTCTTAGGGAGCCACCCCCATGCCCATTCTTCTCCCCAAGTCCCTTATTTTGTTTGAGGGGTGAGTAAGCCAGTAAACTTTGCTTTTCTGAATCTTACCTTCTCAAAAATCTATTTTATTATCTGTGTATATGAGCTTGCTTTCTTCCCAGAGGGCCTAACCTTTTACAACTCAAAAGCCTGGAAAACAGTTGTTATTCCTCTCCTTTTAGTGTATCTTCCATTTTTTGAGGCAATGAACATAAACATGACATTACCAGAATGGGGGTAAGAGGAGAAGACAGGAATCAGCAGGAAGTAGAAGGAATGAAAAGGACAGAAATGAAAATGATTGTTGCTGTGTTGGGAAATGTTTAACGACCTGCTCTCAAACAAACAAACAGAAAAGATAAAAGCCTTGATTTGTAGTGTTTACTGATTTCTGTGGTGTAAACACTCCCACCATGGCTGGTTTCAATTACCTATGTGACATCACCGATGTGACAACACAGAGTTGAGAAAAGATAGGTAGGAGGGCACGTTATGTAGTATTTTCAACATACGGATCCAAAAGACATAACTAATAGCAAGACCATACAGAATAATTAATGTAGTGAAATAATTACAAAGTGATAAATTATGTTTAACTTTGTTTTAATATAATCTATTTAATGGCAAGTTTATGTAATTTAATTTTTAATAATAGTTTTGTTTGGCTCAGAAAACATTTGAAAATTTCATAATGGGCACTCAGTACCTCAAAATTGTTAATATATTAAATACAATTGTTAATATTTTGTGTCTATTTTTTGACACAAAGGAAAATAGGCTTTTCTTGCTCAGGATGTGAAATGCGTCGTTTAGCAATTATGAGTGCTCTGGATGTCTCTGAGCCCTACTTCCCATTCTTTCAGACTCACCTATGATACAGCCATTTGCATCAAGCTCATGCCACTTATTTTCATCTTTCGATGTATGCCCAGGCCTGTTTGGACCTAACATGGAAGCGTGCGGGTTGTCTGCACCCACTGGGGCAACCCTTACCTAATTGGGAAAGAAGGTGATGGATCATTATTTCTCTTCCCTGATCTTCATTTACAACAAGCTTCATTTACAACTCCATAATGGATTGTTGGATTGAATTTCCTCCTATCCCTGTTACATTCTCTGTTGCCCTCACTCCTGATCTTTGAGAGAACTTCCCGATAAACTATTTGCACCGAAGGCTTGTCACAGGCTCTGCTTTCAAGAGCGCTCACAATTAAGACACTGACTCCATCTGGTCTCGCACCACTATCCTAGAAGGCTTATGTGATCCAAGGATACCTGCAGTAATTTGGAGCATGCATGTGTGATTTTTTACTCAGAAACATTATGACATATAGACAAGACATTTAGAAACTGTAGAAATGAAACAGACCAAAAGCATTGATTTGAGCGCTCTCTGTTATTGAGAAAAGTCTGTCTCTCCACAGGCCTTGAGACTACAAATAATCTAGGAATAGATTTCACTTGAGGTCATTCATGATGATCTGATTTCACAAATGTATATTAGAAAGATGTGACAGATTGTAGTTTCAAACTGACTATAAGAAGGTCTCTCATCTCACATGTTCTTCTTACAATGTGAGTTTGACTATCCTGCCATCAAAAAGTGGTGGTCCTAGCTCATTTGGACTTCTATAACAAAATGTCATAAACTGGGTAGCTTATAAACAACAGAAATTTACTTTTCACAGTTCTGAAGGCTGAGAAGTCCAAGATCAAGGCACCAACAAATTCAATCTCTGGTGAGATTCTATTTCCTGATTCCTAGACGGTGGCTTCTCTCTGTCTTCTCACATGGTGGAAGGGGCAAGGCAGCTCTCTGGGACCTCTTTTGTAAGGGCACTGTTCCCAAGCCCTCATAATCTAATCATCCCCACAAAGCTCCACTTCGTAACACCATCACATTGGTAATTAGGTTTCAACCTATGAATTTGGAGGGGACACAAACAGTCTGACCACAGCCCATGGCAAGTGGGGTCTATGTTTTGTCCCCTTAATCTGGGCAGGCTTCTGACTGTGTTAGAAGAAACTCTATGGATTTCTGAAGCTGTTTTATAAAAGACCACATAGACCTGATTCTCAGGACAGCTTCTGAGATTCCTAAGCCACCATTTGAACAATTCAGCTGCCTTGAGGCCACCATGTTATGAGGAAGCCCAATCTAGTCCACGTGGAAAGAGAACATGGAAAGGTCCTGAAACTACTTAGAGAGGGAGAGAAAGAGAGAAAGAGACAGAAAGAGTGAGCGAGAGAGAGAGAGAGAGAGTGAGAGAGAGAGAGAGAGAGAGACCCAATCCAGCACCCGGCTGCCTCAGCTCCTGGCTGTTCCAGAGACTCCAAGCCAGAAATATCCAAGCAAGTCCCTCTTGAATTCCTGTCCATGGACACTGTGAGAGGTAAGAAATTAATTGTTGTTTTAAGACACTACATTTTAGAGTGATTTGTTATGAACAATAATAACTAGAACAGAAGAGTTGCTTAATTTATGTAGCTTTCTTCATGCTGGTAGACAGTCAATCTTACCCGTTATTGTGAGAATAAAGGGCAGATGGGAGGCAGGTAATTACTATAACCATTTTTTTCTTTTTTTTTTTTTTTTTTTTTTAGGGATTGGAGATAATAATGGCTGCTCTTGACTACTGGAACAACTAAGTAGTAAATGAGCATGTAATAGTGAAGGCATTTTGAGTTATGCCTGCATTTTTATAAAGTAGAGGTACTGGTTTTTTACTTTGCAATTTTTATATAATTACCAACTTACAGGAAACTTGCAAGACTAATGAAAAGACATTTCACATACCATTCATCCAGACTCACCCATTGTTAACACTTTGCCACGTTTGTTTTATTACTCTCACTCCCTTTACACACACACACAAACACACACACACATACACATACACAGAGACACATTTTTTCCCAACCACTGCAAACACGTTGCAGAAATTATGCCCATTTACCTGTAATTCTTCAGTGTGTGCTTCCTAGGATCAAGGCTCTTCATTTCCATAACTACGGTACATTATCAAATTCAAGAGGTTTAATATTGATATAATACTAATATTCTATCAACAGATATTATTTAAATTACTCCAATCAATCACACCCTTTTTAGTTTCAACTTTTAGTTTAGATTCAGGAGTGCAGGTGTGTCACATAAGTATACTGTGTGACACTGAGGTTTGGGGTAGAATTCATCCCATCACCCAGGTAGCGAGCATAATACCGTTTATGTAGCTTTTCAGCCTTTTCCTCCCTCTCTCCCTCCCTCCCTGCTTTTGGAGTCCCCAGTGTTTATTGTTCCCATCTTTGTGTCCCTGTGTACCCAATGTTTAGCTCCCATTATAAATGAGGACATGTGGTGTTGGGTTTTTCCATTTCTGTGTTAATTCGCTTAGGATAATGGCCTCCAGCTGCATCCAAGTTGCTGCGAAGGACATGATTTTGTTCATTTTTATAAAAATGCCCTGTACACCAGCTTTTTTTTTTTCCTGTTCCAGGATCCAATCCTGGTTCACACATTGCCTTATTTTCACGTCCCATTTTGTCTAAAAAAGTTACTCTTTTGTTTGGCTTTCTAGAAAAGTCCATCACTGTGTTTGTCATTACTATCAAAGATACAAAGAAGCTGATGTGGCCTTCTGGTGCCTTTGTAAGATAACTTTGGAACCTGCTTTTCAAAACTGTCTATATCTGATTTAACAAAATTAGAAGATATAGAAGCATTCACTCAGCCAGGAGAGATGTAAGTATAGCAGTGGCACTGTTCGCATCTATCCAAGCAAATGCAGTTTGTTTACTGAATTGAAAACCACCTGCTACTTGACATTTAACGTATTTAAAGAAGGAATCAGAAGATTTGCATTTCTTATGAATAAGTAATTAATTATTATTACTGTGCCTGGAAATCGAAAACATTTGTGTTACAGGGCTTTGAAGAGGGTAGTGTAATTGGCTTGGGGTTCTGACTGGTTTGAAAGGAATACGTAGTAGATCCTCATTCTCTCACCAACCAGCTGACTCTTCAAGGCCCCTGGCTGTTTTCTTTCCGACTGAGAGTGTTGGGAAGCCATTTGTTTCTTCTTAACTAAGTGGCTCACCCTATTTTGAATATGTCTATGTCTATAGTAACATAGCAGACATAACATGTTGTACACTGGGATGGATTCTAGACAAGAAAAGAAAAGTTTGGGCATATTTGGAGAAGTTGACCATATGCCCTAGAGCAGGGGATTGTTGGAGACATGGTCCCCACTGGTGGTCTGGTGAAGCCTAGAAGCACTTCTCAAAATGATGTTTTTAAATACACACCGGAACCCTGGTTCAGTTAGGATTTTGATTAATCAGAGAAGCAGAATCATGAGGCAATCTGGCTCTCTCTCTCCTTTCTCTCTCTCTCTCTCTCTATATATATATATACACACACATACACACACACACACACACACATAAAAAACTAATTATATATAACATATAAATATATAACAAATATATGTGTGGATATATATCTTTTTAACATAAAATAATATATAACAGATGTATATATGTACACATATATGTGCTTCAAGTGCATATACACAGTTGATCATCATTATTTACAGAGTCCACATTTTTTAATTTGCCTGGTAACATGTATATGTAATCCCAGATCAGTACTTATAGAATTTTTTTTTACTTTTTTGTGAACATGCACAGAGAGGCAAACAATTAGCATAGCTCGCCTGGGCACGGTGGCTCACGCCTGTAATCCCAGCACTTTGGGAGGCCGAGGCGGGAGGATCACGAGGTCAAGAAATCAAGACCATCCTGGCTAACATGGTGAAACCCCGTCTCTACTAAAAATACAGAAAAATCCGCTGGGCGTGGTGGTGGGTACCTGTAGTCCCAGCTAGTTGGGAGCCTGAGGCAGGAGAATGGCGTGCACCCGGGAGGCGGAGCTTGCAGTGAGCCGAGATCGCACCACTGAACTCCAGCCTGGGAGACAGAGCAAGACTCTGTCAAAAAAAAAAATTAGCATAGCTCCATGTATACATTTCCAGTGGAGGTTGAACAAAGCACTACTCTGACTTCTTTCAGCTTTCATACTATAAACAAGGGCCTTTTTTCTGGTGTATTTATTACTATGTTTTTCACATTTTTGTCCTTTTTTTGTTGGTACTTTTGCTGTTTAAAATGGATCCAAAGCATACTGCTGAAGTGTTTCTAAGTGCAAGAAAACTGTGATGTGCCTTATGGAGAACATACGTGTGTTAGATAAGCTTCGCTTAGGCCTGAGTTATAGTGCTGTAGACTGTGAGTTCAATGTTAATGAAGCAGCAATATATGTTAAATAAGGTGTCTTTCAACAGAAAACACATACAGCAAAGTTATGTATTTGTGGGTTGGTGAAAATGTTGTGACCAGAGACTCTCAGAAACCTAATCGTGTATTTTCCCTAGGAGCAATGGTTCACTATTTGCTGATTCAGTCTTTGCAGTGACTTTATAGAACATAACTACTGTGAATAATGAGAATCAGTTGTATGTATTGTATATGTTATATAATAAAGAGTGAAATTTCAACTTTTCTTTCCCCTTTCACCTTTCATAATATAGCATATACATTATATAGTAGGTTAAATAACAAATTATATATTGTTATTAATGTATAATATAATAATATATTACTATTATATTATAGTGTAACATATTATGCTATATAATTTAATAATGTGTACTATTATATAAATATTATATATTATATAACAAGTATTATATTTTATATATGACGTACTGTATATATACATATAATAAAGGGGGAAAAGGAAAAGAAAAGTTGAAAAGTTACTGAAACATTAATAACTCTTTTGAGAAACTTCAAATTTGCAGCAATTTTATATGAAGCCCAATAGTCTTTGAGGTCTGTGTGAGAGAGTTACAGCTTTCTTACTTATTGACAAGAAGAAATTGTCACTGATTCAGCTATTTCTCTTGCGGCATATTTTGTCAAAAAAGTTACACCAGATTAAGTTAAACAAGAACGAAAGATTTTATTTAAGCCTATTGCAATAGAGGAGAGAGGCCAGCACCCAACTCAGCTCAGAAAAGGGTTGAGAGTTTTTAAGAGTTGGGATGAGGGGTTATAGGCCACCTGTGTTTGCTAAGTGTTTTCCAAATGAAAAGTAAATTTTCTTGTATCTTCA